CTTTCATGTGGACTGGTCGGTCATGAAACCAGCTCCATCTAACAGTCAGGCGTTCACAGATTTCTGCAGATAGAAAAACGGACAATTTCCGTTGTTTCTTGTCGGTTATGCAACAAGATGTCAAAAGCAGATTCAGAACTAACAATCATCAAATTCAATCAATTATCCGCTGCACGACCTGCATAGTCATATGAATACAACATTAGCATTCACTAACATGGAAAAACAATATAGAACTTGCTGAGGTCCTGAAATTCCCAGTAGCATTGTAACTACCTTTACTATTTGACCAACAGTTGGGAACAACCAGTCTAAAATGCCTTTGGTTATGGAAATCTCAACTCGGTTCAAAAGTCATAGGATGTAGTTAACTATGATTTACGGCTACAAAGTCAAGTTCATTAGTTTTGACCTTATATATTTCTTAGATTCATACAAATCATAACTCAAATGCAAATAAATGAAACGGTGGTTGCACGGCATCAACCGTATCATTTCATTTCATATAGCGGCAAATAAAAGAAAAGGTTCGAATGGAAAATGTGGAATTGAAATCATGATGTTGATGAATGAAATTGGGCCAAACGACAAATGGAAAAATGATTTTTTCCCTAAAACATTATCACAACTCGCATGAAATTTCAACCAATCATCTATAAACAAAATCTCAACCAGTTGTTAAGCTAATGAGGTTCGTAAGTAAAACCTTAGTTCCAGACTTCCAGTCATGCGTATGATACATGAGTTATGACAATTTTTGTGTCTTATGGTGACAATTTCTTCTCTCTTTAATTAATGAGGAACACCTAATGCATGCTCTAAGTCCCACTGTGCTCCTGATTTACCCCAGCAGAAGCAACAAATGTCACACGTACACATTTTGCAACCAGCAAGGTTCTTCCATTGTTGCGGAAACTAGATTCAATGTGTCTTATCTCGTCAACCTAAATATACAAGGATGGAAAGGTTCGTAAGGCTATAAATTTCCACCTAATTTCCCCGATATGTGTTTCCTCAAAATTGTCTCTAAATCAAATCTCCTATCATGAAACAGACTGCCTAATTGTTCAACAAACATGCAACTTTAACTTGCTAGATCAAAGGGCATGTGTCTGTAATGTCATCTTATCTGATCATTCAACAAAATTTGCACTCAGTGAATTATATAACAAATAATGACCTCGGTGTCCCTCTCCGATCACTACAAATTGCACAACAGAGAAATCCTAAAAGATCATCCATATCTTCTTATTTACATTACATATATACTTCTCTCTAGAATTGTTTCAGTTATCCCCAATTCCATCGAATAACTCTTAAGTAACATTTATTCGTCATGAGTGTGACTGTGAACTGTGGATGTGTTTTGGTAACAAACCATTAAAAGACCTTTTGTTTGAAAAACATATATTCACTCTTCTTCTTCCAACTTGAATGTTAGTACTCATTTTTCTGGATTAATTGCCTTCAAACCCATGACAAGAACAACTGTCGTGGGATTCTGGCCATATGAATTTCTTTCCGAGTGCACTCAAAGGAACAGAAACATCTTTGCATTCATCAACATATATACTCAAATAAAGTTGACATGAAAAAAATAATGTACGCTCCAGAAGATTAGAGGGCAAAGAAAAGGATCACAAGATGTTAATATGATTGTGTTCCATATTCAATAGTCCACAAAGGTGTGTCTTGACTCTTGATACAATATTATCGGTCAGTATAGGTGAGGTAAGACAAACATTTTTAAATTTCTGTCATCCTTTGAACAGCTAATCATGTAATTGTAAATTCAAGATGGTGTATACAAAATAATTCACATATTGGAATTAGGATACTCATCTAACATGAAAGAACATGCATACCAACCAATCAAAATGTCTTTCCCTTTCTCATCTGAACTGGAGGTTGTGATCTCAGGCTGTTTCAACCACCTAAAGCAAAATAGGAGCAAAAGTCAAAAAACAAAAAAGAAAAAAAGAAGCCAATGCTGTCAGCTACAAACATTGGAGCAATACAGGTATTAAATTAATCGTATCAAGTCACAGTGAAGGGCAAACGACCGCCAATTTAAAATTTCAGAATTCTCACTGCTGAAAGAAAGAATATCAAAGTGAATACAGGTATTAAATTAATCGTATCAAGTCACAATGAAGGGCAAACTACCGCCAATTTAAAATTTCAGAATTCTCACCGCTGAAAGAAAGAAGATCAAAGTGGTTTGCGCAATCCCTGAATCACTGGAATTTCCAAAGACTAATTTCAAAGGTATACAACCCATAAAAGAAGGATTAGTTCTTTTTTGAAAATTAAACAAATTTTATTGCATAAAACAATAAAAATTACACAATGAGTGGACAAGATGGCCAAAATTGGACAGCAACAGTATAAGAAAAATCATAGAAGCAAAATCAGTCTGACATAAACACAGACCACAGAACGAAGATACAACAGCTTTCCAATCTAACCAATGACTAGAATAATATAAACCCCTAAAATCTGTAGAGACTGAAGACATAAAGATGACCAGACAAATTTTTTTTTGGGTTCAAAAAAATTTCTGTCCCACCATCTACAAAAATCATCTTGTTCCTTTCCAGCCAAACTGCCTAAAAAACAGCCAATACTATGCATCCCCATAAAAATTTGGCCTTCCTCCCCCTCCCTGGTATCGTATGTTCTCAGATAAAAAGGAGAATGCATCGCTGTGGATGCTCCAAACTCCCAGAACAGACGCCACCAGAGATCCAAACCTAAGGCCTGGTTGTCTACTAAGATTGATTCAACAGCGCCCCTCCAAGTTATCTGGTCATTTCTTTTGACAAATGTGGATCTAGTAGATTGAACAGTAGTAAAGGGAAGCCTAGTTGTATAGCTAAGGTTTACATTCTCATAATCCATACCCCTGTTGGGCCAGGCAATATTTCAAATATATTCAAGGGAGGTTAGCCTATTGTAACAGATTTGTAATCTGGTAGCTCCTGGTCCCGGCAATTTAAGATTTATTAGACTAGTAGTATCCCCCTGCTTTACCTTTTTAATAGCTTATGAAGATGAATTTAGTCTTACATAATATAATCTGTGCAATATTTTTGCCTATATAATGTTCAACAAAATATTATTGCCCCATATTAAGGGGCAAAAAATATTGTTTCTGCAATATTTTTTAAATTACCTGAGGGGTCAGCATGTGGTTTGTAGCATACGCAGCTACTGACAATCCTATGTTCAGAACTGCATTTGATTATCTTTTAAAATGCATATGATTTCTACCATGCGAAATATACTTCTCTTCTTTCTGTTTTCTTCTCCAAATGCCCTTTCTTAATACATAACACCATCCTAAAACCCTGCTAAACAATCAAAAGTTGAAGCAAAGCAGCACTCTGGTGTAATAACAATTAGCTACCACTGTTTTTTCTAGTAACAATAGCGGACTGTAAATAACTAAAACCTTTTCATAATCAATTAAAAAAGACAAGTATGAACAGATGGAACAGCCTATGAAGTCAACACCCTAAAGGTGACATGATTCCGTTTTCTGGAGAATACATAGTTGTATGACTTGTTACATGAACATTATTCAGTTCGAACTGATATGACAGAAAACTCAGCAAACATGAACACCCTAAGTAATTGCTGCTTGGAAAACGAGTATCATATTGATAAAAATAAGACAAACGCATATACATCATTCCAAACATACAATAGGCACTGCCAGTATAGACATTGGCAACAGTACAGATAACTCGTATGATAAAGATCAACTTTATTAACATTTCATCAGAACTATAACAGTAGTAACATCTGGAAAGGTATTTAAATTACAGTTTAGAGGAACTCAGAAGGGGAATTGTCCTCCGGCTTCCCATTGTCGCCCAAATCCCCTGGATGCTGTAAATTCTGCAAAACCTGAGGCGGCAATGACCCTAAACCGCCTCCCAGCCCATCGTTCACAGACCCAAAAGATTGACAAACTAGCCTAGCCATGACCCCAAGAATCTGCATTTGATTATGGCACGCCTCAGCATGCATTTGCATCATTTGCTTCTCATGCTCAATTTGCAAACCCACCATCCTCTCCCTCCACTCCAACTCCTCCTCCTCCCTCTTCTCCTCCATCCTCATCCTCCTCCGTCGCTCATCATCCAGCTCCCTCTCCATCCTCAACCTTTTGTCGAATTCTCTTCTTGCCCACATCACCTCCCTCTCCTCTAACTCCAATTCTCTATCCTCCAACCAGTCCTCCCTCTCATTCCTTCTTTTCTCTCTCCTAAACTCAATTTCTTTCCTCTTTTCCTCTCTCTCAACCTCACTTTTCTCTCTCCTACACTCCCTCTCTCTCCTCCTCTCTTCCCTCTTCACCACTACATCCCTCAAATCCAAAACTTGTGCAGTCACCAACCCCAACCTCCTATGCAATCCAACCTTACCCAATTTCCTTTTCTGCGCAAAACCCACTTCCCCAATTGCCCTCTCACCCACAAGTTCACCACCTTCACTCCTACCCAATTCCTCAACACCATTGTCGCCTTCGCCGCCGCCACTACTTTCCTCTTCTTCTCCATCTTCACCTTCTTCCAATTGCACTCCATCTTCATCGTCTTCTTCTTCTTCCAAATCGTCACAGTCAATCCCAAACCCCAAATCCCCACAATCCCCAAAAACATCAAGGTTCTCACTTTCACACCCCCTTTTCCCCCTAACATCAAGCTCCACATCTCCAAACACTTCCTTGTACCTCAAGAAATTTTCCCAGTGGTTTTCGCCGTCTTTCCAGTTGAATTCGTCCTTGGAGACCCGGATCTTCTGCTTCACGCCCAGGTACTGGTGCCGCATGTTCTGCACCTTGATTGAGACGTCGCGCCAGGACCACCGGAACGGAAAGGTCACTGGGTCGCGGAGGTGGTGCGCCGAGTTCACGTGGTCGGCTATGGGCTTGAACTTTTTCTCGCGGGTTTTGAGCTTGGCTAGAGCTCCAGAGTTGTGGAGGTCCAAGTAGTTGGTGAGAAGGGTCTGTTCTTCGAGCTCCGACCATTTCTTGCGCTTCATTGTCAGAAAGCTGCGGGCGTTGATCAGGGCGGGCAGAGGTGCAGAGATTTGGGGGCGAAGAAGATCGCCTACTGTCTTCTCACACTAGTCGGTGGTCAATTCTTCATAATTACTATTTAGTATTTACAAATATTTCTTTTTGTTGTAAATTTGTTTAATAATAATTACTATTTCTTTTTTCTTTTTTTGGTAATTGAAAATAAGAAGTATTAACGAAAAGTCCACGATTCTGTTTATTTTAACGAAAATTCACATTTTTACACTAAAAAATCAATCCTGGTACTATTTACTTTATCCTTTATTTTGTCCTTATCATTAAAACTCAAAGTTTTCAATCCCTTTTCATTAGTTTTTCTTTGAAAATAACTAATTTGAATAATTTATTTCAAATATAAAGTAAAAGCATATCATTAGTATTTAAAACTATATTATTTTCAGTAATCTACCACTTAAGGCATCCAATGTGTGGTGTTAGGATATCCAACATATAACATAATTTTGTTGGAGTATGCTTTACAATGTTTCAATATTCGTACTTTGTGATCTGTTGTTATGAAGATTGAATCACATTTATACTTGTAGTTACTGAAGAAAAATTGTAAAATAATTTAATCTAATAATTACTCTTAATTACCTAACGGTCCAAATAATAACATGTTAATTACATTTGAAAATTATTAACAATAAAATGTCATTACCTCATTGGCTAGATTATTGTCCCTTTGATAAATTGCTTTGGTTTTTGTAAGGGCTTCTTGCCATGATTTCAACTTTTTATGTAGATTTTTGTACCTATATAATAGAGATTGCTTGATTCAGAATATATCTTGAATCTGCTCGATAAATTGTATATGAATTTTCTTCCATATTTGTTGCACCATCATTTAACACTCAAGCAAAACAATTGTTATGCCTATTTATCAAACAAATTTGCTCATTATAGAACTGTTTAGTTTTTACTAAAATCGTCGATATTTCCTGTCCTAGTATGATTAGAGTAGGCCGATGCCCAATGGGCTTAGATCTTGGGCCTTCTTTCATACCTCTTCGAGGCCCATATTAGAAGAGGCTTCTGGACTGTCGGAGCACCCACTTCATTTACCAGAGCTTTCTAAGCGGGAAGGTGTTCAGAACTTCAGAGCGACAACTTTGAAGTCCAACAAAAAATTGCAGAAACTTCGATGGATTCCGAAACGGCGCTGGAGCTTGTGAAGCGAGGCGTGACGCTTCTCTTCCTCGACGTGCCTCAGCACACCCTCATCGGCATTGACACTCAGGTAAAATACTACTACTAAGTACTAACCCAACCAACACATGCTCGTGCTGCGTTTGGTTGCCGAGAAAATGCGAGAAAATTTGACCCTCAACACTCGATTCTCTGTTTTGCAGATGTTTTCTGTGGGCCCGGAATTCAAAGGCATAAAGATGATTCCTCCTGGTCCTCATTTTGTGTACTATAGCTCATCCACGAGGTTAGCTCTTCTTGCTCACCATATGTTTGTTGAATGTTGTCAGAGAATGTAATTTTGAATTTTAAATTTTGAAGTATTTTGGGGGTGATTCTGTTTTGTAGTTTCTGTAAATTCCCAATGGTAGTTGATTGGATGGAAATCGACATTTTTCGCGTATTTATCTGTGGCATGTTTCTGCTGTATTTTTATTTGAAAAATCTGGTTTCATGTGTCTGGTTTTTGGCCACGCAGAGATGGCAAGGAGTTTGCGCCAATTATCGGGTTTTTTCTTGATGCCGGGCCATCGGAGGTTAGTTAAGCAATGCCGTCTCTTTATTGTCAGCTTAAATCCAATTGGGTTGTAACATTTCAGTGCTGTTTTACCCCACCCAAACAATTGTGAGCAAGACTCACTTTTCTCGTGTAACAGGTAATTGTTCGTAAGTGGGATCAACAAGACGAACGATTAGTCAAAGTACCAGAAGAAGAGGTTTGTATTCATGTTGGTTGCAAGATTGTCTTACTATATTTATTTCTGCCATGTACAGAATCAAAGTGATTCCAAATGGATGGCTGACACTATAGATGATATTATTCAACCTCAATTTCCAAGAAGCTGCATGAAGTATATGAAGTCTAAACTCACTAGAGAAGGTTGAGGCAAATAAAAACAAAGTTGATGCATAAACTATATAACCTGCCGAAGTACTAAGAAGCAAGAAAATATGGCCAATATCTCTTTTTTGAAAATCTTTTTGTTTATTTAATTTCTTTGTCATTCTTTTGGTCCAATTTTATTGTATTAGTGAAACTATTAAATTTTAAAAGGAGTGAGGGGAATTTCTTTATTTTTGTTTCAAACAAAATTCTTTGCTGGAAAGACAGTAGCTGTTTTCTTTATTTCAGTGTAAGATTTTTATTTCATATCGCTATATTTTTTGTTCCATCAGGAAGAGAGATACTGCCAAGCAGTTAGAAGTTTGGAGTTTGACAGACATCTTGGTCCTTATAATCTAAGCCAGTATGGAGATTGGAAACAATTATCTAGCTACGTTACAAAGAGCATCATCCAACGGATTGGTAAGCATTATTCACAACTTCAGTAGCTTACATTCACCATTATTGTAGGTTTTCCACCAGGTGTTTCTTCAGTTTTGTTGCTAGAGTTTTGTGAAGCGAATACATTTAATGCTTTAACTGCTGCTGTTGTTACTGCGTTTCTCTCCGTCTCTCCTTCTGAGTTTTTCAATTTGAACTTTCTTTATCTTCAGATCTGCAATGCGTGTCCTCTTTTTTTCTTTTTTTCTGTTTTTTTGGGATAGAAACCACACTCTTTGTCTGAGTATTTATCTTGTCATAAGGTACAATAGGCCCCTGTGGAGTGTGAGCAAATATGAAAATATTAAAAAAAGTATTTTTTTTAATCTGTTTTAGGAAAATTCTCAACATGGACATATGGTGAGAATCTTAATTTTCCACGAAGTATTTGTTATGACTTCTTGTCCAGTAAACTTAAAGGGTGGTGCATCTGCTCACTTGCAAAGAGTTCATATGATATTTAAGTATAGTGGTATTAGCTACGAGCTTGTAGACATGATGAAATAGGTAATGACCAGAATTGAAAAAGGTACCATGAAAGTAATGAAGTTCTGTACAGTGCATGGATAGCTCTTTCATAACAATCTTCCTATGTAGCTTTTCGTACAAATTTCTGCATCGAAATGGAGATTATTATTGCAAAACTTTCTAAAAGTATATAAAAGAATTTCTTCTAGAAGTACTTCTACCAATAAGACTGCAAGGAAATCTAAAAGAACATTGCATGTCAGATGTTTTCTGTTTATAGTTATAGTGACACTTGGACACAATTTCATAATTTTTGGCACTGTTTTTTTAGTTGTTAAAGACTGACAGAAGTAGCTCTTCCTTTCCTCCAAATTCATGACCAGGCCTAATTCACTTTAGGTAGGATGTATTGAGGTCTAGCTCAGCACAGTGCAGATTGTTTCACACTTCCTCTACTTACCAAGATGTCCTAATAATTGATGAGCCCTCATGTTCATAAAAGAAGAAGGGAGAGAAAATCTGCCAAAAGGACCGCTCGATAGACAAGGCCATGGAGGGAATTCAATCAGGAATAAACAATTAGAAGGCTGTTAGGCTCCTTTCACATGCTTAGCTATGAACTTTCTTCCCACTTGAGAATGGATGCTAGAAACTATATGGAGTCTGTAATATTTTAGCTTGCTTCTTCGGCAGGGAGGTCTTTAACGGCTTTTTTTGGTTAAAATTGCTAGAGCTTAGTGACTGGAGGAGAGAAGCACAAAATGATCTTGATTTCTTGAACATCAAAAGAAGCTTCTTTTGTTCTTTGTTTGAAGTGGTGACTCACTTTCAACATAAGTTCTATAAAACATACCATTGAATGAAATCATCATGGAAGCATGGCTCTAATTGAGAAGTGGTTGTGAAGATTTGCCATGGAAAAGGAGTCCCTTGACATTTTTAAAAGAAGAAAATGTGGGTCACATCAAGTAATTAAGATTCTCTTTGACATGAAAAAAATAAGATTCTGATTTTTAATGTAGGCTCAAATCCTTGAGCTTGCAAAAGACATTTCATTAGGCATTGTTTCCTTCTCTCTTAATCTTCATTTGTGGTGGGTAATGGGGAAAATTGAGTTTTTGGGGAGAATTACTGGAGAGGGTAGTCTCTTTATCTATGCATCCATGGTCAATATGTTTGCTGTCCCTTGCTTTCCAACCAATTGGAATTCTATTCTGGAGAAATTGAATGATATGGAAATTTCTTATTTACTCTCTTTGATGGAAGTATCTCATTACAATCTTTTAGATTGAATGGAAGGTTCTGGGATTTAGTTTTCAGGTCCCTTCGCTTAGGTGAAATTTTTACTTTAGCAGACTGATTAACGAGCTATCTCATTCCATTTACAATCCATCCCCCATGATTTGGAAAGCAAGAACCTTGCTTCAGTATTGCTCATAATAGAGTTGATATTATATATGATATATAATATTATTTATTTTATTCAAAGAAGAAGAGCTAATGTTTATGTGTTTCCCAATCTGTCTCTTATATGCAAAAAGATGCCAAGTATTGCAGGGCGAGTAAGGGTTAAGTTTGGGAGGAAATTTTTGGGGATGCTGGTTATGAGTGGTTCTAGATTCATGCATTTGTTTGTTCATTTAGAAGTGTTGGAAAGTCTTCAGAATAGAGTACACGTTTTTATGGAGGACATCAAATCATAAATCTACTCAAAAGATTAGCCTTGAACTAAGCTAATTGAACAACCTGACCTTAAAACAGTTGATCATATCTTCTAAAGCTTGCTGCTATATAGGGAAATGTTTTACTCATGAAATTTCATGACAGAGGTGTTAAATAGGGTGCCTGAATTTGATTCTAAGGCTTTCTAATAAACTCACTTTTCTTGTCCTATAACCTTTGAATTTTAAACGGCCGATTTACTGTACAGAGCCCATTGGAGGAGAAATTACTATTTCATCTGAATCTGCAATGCGTATAAACACTCCTAACACAACGATGGAGAAAGCTCTAGATGAGCAGTTGAATGCTAGCAAGTTCTCAACACCCAGTGACAAGTCTCAGATGAGAGGATGTTACTACACATCAATTCCTCGTGTTATCAAACGAAAGGGAATCCAGGGCCAACAACTTACTTCTTTGAATCTTGACAAGGTGAGAACCCCCCTCTACTCTTTTAAGTTATTTTGTTGGTTTTTTTATTTGAATGTTTACAGATAGCTGATTTAGCTGTAAGCTTTCACTGATAATTTTTTCTTCTTTTTACTGGATGTCTAGACACAATTGTTAGAAAGTGTACTGCTAGAAGATTATGGTGGTTCTGAGGACCTGCTTCTTGCAGAGCTGCAATTTGCCTTTATTGCATTTTTGGTACGTGGAGAATGCAGACTTGATCATAATTTTATGTTAATTACTACTGTCAGATACTCAGATCTTTATGATATTCCGAGCTTATGCAGATGGGCCAATCACTTGAAGCATTTCTACAATGGAAATCCTTGGTCAGTCTTTTATTTGGATGCACTGAAGCTGTAAGTATTGGTCGCCATGTTTCACATTACTTATTGTTGGGATTTATTCACGCTACCAAATTTGTATAATTGTAATTTTTATTTTTTCTGCATTCTGCATGAGTGTTTTAAATTTATATATACATGTCCATGTTACATGCATACATATATTTAATTCCCTCCAGGATAGGGATCCTCCGAATAATACTGTTCTACTTAGTGGGGCCTCTCTGCATTCTGCATTGTAGTTCAGTTACCTGAACTGTCTTTTTCTTTAAGATACTTGCATAATCAGCTAAATGGGGAATCATTAATACTATAATCATTAACAAATAAATAAATATAGTCTTTCCTGTTCCCATTTACTATGTTAAGTTTTTATACTAAAATATGGAGTTTTGAAGTGATGCTTGCATCATAGGAAATTGATACTGAAAAACAGGAAAGCTGAAATAAGTTTCTGACAATTCTATCATTATTGCAGCCTTTCCGTACAAGAAGTCTGCTATTTGCAAAGGTAATGTCCATACTTGTGCTATTTATAACTAGAACTTTTTGCCAGATAACTAAGAAATCGTCATGGTGATTTGGGATAAAATTATCAGTTTGAAAACGTAGGAGCATAACTATGATCTACCAACTAAAAGTAAAACATTAAATCTAAACAAGACCAATAAAGTATACGGAAACAACTAAAACCCCCAGCCGGCTAAGACCCAAGTCAAGTTGGCTAACTGTCCCACTTAGCCTTTGAGAGCCTTGTAGCTGATCTAGCATCAGAGTGATTTTTTTTGGTTCAGTAGGTATGGCAAAGAGGTTGTTCAGGAAGTGCGGAAGAAGAAAAAAGCGGGGTTGGTTTGTGTGATAAATTGGGAAAAGGAAAATGATTGTGTGGAGTGGGACTTGGCGGATATTATTTTGGAAGTTAAAGGTTTTGGAGAATGGAAGAACCGGGATTGAAGGGTGTTAAAACTTTCCCAAATTTTAAATAATGATATATAGGAGGTAGAGTGTTGGATCATCGAGGTTTCTGAAAGGGGATGGAGATATATTGTATTGTTCTTTTCGTGTTATCCTGGGACATTTTATGATGTTTTGAGCATCTGGTAGTTTAGAGGTTTCACATAGTTTTGAGTAGCTGGTGTGTCCACTGGGGTTTTGTCTTTATTTTCGTTGTAATAAAATGATTCTGTTTCTCCTAAAAAAGAGAAGGAAATGCAATAAATTCTAGGTTACTGACTTTTCTGCCCAGAGAAAGTAACACATTTAGCTATTCTTGATCTAAACTAATTTTCTTTTCCTGTAAAGTTGTAAACTAACAGTGAACAATGCTTTCCTTTTTTTGTCCATTCGTTTACTCTGATAAATGACATGTGATGGAATCTCGCAGTTTATTAAAGTCATCTACTATCAATTGAAACATGGACTTCAGAAAGGTTGCACAGACACAAGCATTGCGTCATCATTGTTAGATGAATCATGGTTTTCTGCTGATAGCTTTTTGCACCGTCTTTTCAAGGTACAAGGTTATATACCATTAATTGGGTGCTTGATTCTGCATTCCATTGATCAAGTTCATTCATAGTTTTCCATTGATCAAGTTCGTTCATAGTTTTCTTGTAACTTTTTTTGCATTCAGTTTGTTATTCTAATGAAAAAGAAATTCAACGAAAGAAAAGCATCATTTCCATCAGATGTGTAGAACCTTGAGTTTATTGACTGAATGTATAAATGTGATTCCAGGAATTTTTTTTGTTGGTGCAAGATGCCTCAGTTGTTGATGGAGATCTTCTGTCATGGGTATGCAATCTAAGCCTAGTTTTTAATTTAATCTTTTATATTCTATCAAGCAAAAGAAGGTATCAAAAGAATCATATGCTCTTTCTTGAAATTATCTACAGTTCTTGTTTTTACCTTATAGATGATTCAAATTACTGATAATTTATCTTCACACTTTCCATTGTATTTATCATGATATGAATATGCAAACATAAATAAACAGAATCCTTTATTTTGTTACTTTAAAGGAGTGTATAATATGATAAGGTATGGTTCTCTTTATGCATTAGTTTAACACTAACTCGGATGGGAAGAATCTGGAACAGATTGGATTTTTTACCTTTTGTGTTTAAAATTATAATTGCATATAACCCAGATCTTCTCGTAATAGCCTTCCCTTCATCCGTTAGCAATTTAGAACCTGTCTGTTAAATTGACTTCATAACCCATGGCACTCGTCTTCCGAGACAGCATTTGTTTGTATAATTATGGAATTACAGGATAGAAACGGTAAAATGTATGTGTGAGCGGTGTAATATCACAGAGAGGCCAATGAGAAAGATGTAAACATCTAAATCCTGCACGTTTGCCCAAGAAGAGTAAACTATTATTGCAACCCTCTTTATGTGCCGTGTTGCTACCTCAAAGTTTATTCATGTTATTACCGCCATTTGATGGGTTTTTTCATATAAATTGAGTCCTGAGTTGAAGCATTTCTCGTGAAGTCATCTGTTTTTGTGTTTTTAGAGTAAACTTGGTCAGAGAATACAGTTGTGTTATACGGTAGAAAATTAAAGTAACGCAGGATGTATATGTATAGATTCATTAACGAATAGCGCTTGAAATTTGAATTATTGCAAGTTGTCTCCTTTTGAATAACTGTGTTGAGAAGAATCCTAAGTTCCGTATTTCTTATTCTTAAAGACAAGGAAGCTTAAGGAGTTGCTTGAAAACAATCTTGGATGGGAATTCCAGCATGACTGTGCAGTTGATGGGATGCACTTTGAAGAAGATGAGGTCAGTGATTATTTGTTTTCAAATTGAACTGTCATCACTATTCCCACACATTCTTTCTCACATCCCCGAACGTTAAACATTTGCAGTATGCTCCTGTTGTTGAAATGCTGGATGACCCAAGTTCTAGTGAAGCACCAGTAGTTTAAGACTTAATTCCCTCTGCCCCTGACGTTCATCAATAGTTTAATCTCGTGATTCTGAAGTTGGACGACCCAAGTTGGTAGTGAAGCCAGCAGTTTATGACTTCCGTTGCAGATGCTGTCGCATTAACAGTTTGCGGCATAACAGGAAGGGATCAGTATGATATCCTTCAACGATGGCCTGGTTTTGTTTGTGTAAACCTTGTACATGCAGTTGAAATTTCCATGTAAAGTGATAAGGATGGATGTTATATATATGCTGATGTTGTGCTAAATGTTAAGACGGATGTGACTGGTGCCCTTAAAATGGTTTAACCATTCATCCAAAATTTTATTTCAGTTCTGAAACTGCATTAGGTAATTTTACTTGATGCATTAAAGATTCGGTTTTCTTCCTGACGGAGGAGAGAAAAAAGTCCGAATCTATTGCTGAAAGAGTAAAAACGTTTGATCCATTAGTTGGCATTTGTGCTTCATAGGTTGAACTGATAGTGATTTTTACACACTTCTTTTTATTAAAGATACAACAATTATGCAAAGAATTTGGGTTCTACAAACCAAAAAGGAAAAATTGGTTAAAATGATTAGAAATTAAATTTTAATTGATGATTGAGAAAAATTGAAAATGGACAATTTATACCAAAGATTAGTGACATTGATTAGATATTGACAACATGCTATAAAAACTAGTCATTTTTTGAAATTTGAAATGAGCATTTTGAGTTTTCGACAAGCAGATGACAAGGTTTTTTTTTTTTTTTTTTTTTATTATTACTATGGACTGAGGAGGGTTGGTTTTGAAACTATAACCATAATTTGAGGGAGAGTGAGTTTCAAACGATGGGTACTAAAAGTTGGACCACATACAATGGGTTGACATTGAACACATTATCTATTAAGATATTGGATCACATGTAAATTTATGCTCATAAATGACGACTAATAATATGGTTCAAATTTGTCTTTGGCAAGAATTGAACTTAAGACCTCTTACTTACAAGTAAAGATGAATCCCTCTAGATCATAGTACTAAATGTATAGATAACGACTTAATCCAAATTTATTCTCGTTGTGTAAATATCATTTAAATTTATTCCCCGGTTAAATATCATTTTACCTAAGTTATACTAAGGCCATATCCAACCAAAGGAGGGCCAGAGGGCTCTCGTTTTAGCCCTCTAGCTCTCCAAGAAATTAATATTTTAATGAACAATGTAGGGTTATATTTCTTACCATCTCCAACCGAGGGACCAGAGGGCCATAGGCCTAACATAGCCCTGTGATAAAAAAATCATCTACAACCAAGAGCCAAAGGGCTATAGTATGAAATATGAAGAATTGAAATAAAATGAGGTAAGATATTATGGAATGGTAAAAAATATGTGAGAAATATTGTAGGAAAAAAATTAGAAATTATAAAAAATAAAAATAAAAATAAAATAAAATAAAAAGTGAGCTCGGACAAAAAAAAAATCCAAAACCCTAAACCCTAAAGAAGTGGGCTGGGCAAATGGAAAAGAACAAAAAAAAAAAAAAAAAAAAAAAGGAGAAGAGGAAAATGGGTTAGTTGGCTGGCTGGCTGGCTAAAGATGGCCAGTCGATTGGCCCTTTGGCCCTTTTTTGGTCCAGTGGGGCCAACGAGCCATTTGGCCTAGCCTTTGGTTGGAGACGATTTTTGAGCTATTTTCTGCCCTCTGAACCCTTTGGTTGGAGATGGTCTAACCAATTTATTTTAGTAGATAGCAAAGTTGATTCAAATTCATTTTTTTAATTAAAATTATTATCGTATGTAAAAAATACAATTAAAAATTAATAGACAATGCCAAATTATAAGTTAAAGTGAAATGAAGGAAAAGTGTTCCCACCTTGCTGATGAGTAAACAAAACCCCAAAAGGCACTGAAGATGATGGTGATATGATATGATATGATACGATGGCTCCAAGGCTGTGTTCCCACCTTCCCCTCCTTTCTTGTATTTGAAAAAACCCTAATCCCCATTTCTCTCTCCTCCTCCTCCTCCTCCTCCTCCTCTTTCACCCTGCAAAACCTGTCGGATTCTGCATCTTCTGTAACCCCTTTAGCAACTCCAATTTGCTCCTCTGGGTTTTCTGCAAATTTTCAAGGTTGGTTTCCTACGGGCGCTTCAATTTTCAAAATTTTACAATTAATTAATCAATCATATGAATGTTTGTGTTTATGTCGTTGGAGTTATGATATGCAATCTACGTGCACGATAAAATGCCCCACAGAATGGAAGATTGGTCTTTCAGTGGGCTTTCTTGTCTGTCTGTCTGCGCATTTTTTGACTCGAGATTACTGGTTTCATTGACATGTATGTCATTGTGAAAAACCTTGAGCCTGGGGAATGACGTTTGATTCCACTGTCGAGAACAAGGAAACAACGTCGAGAAAAATGCATGAGCAATATAAACAACGTCGAGAAAAATGCATGAGCAATATTCCTAACTTCCTTGTGTCCCGTTCTGTGGCATTTTTAGATTTGAGTGTAATTATGTAGTGCAATCCCTTCCTTGTGTCCTGTTCTGTGGCATTTTTAGATTTGCATTGTTAGCAATATTCCTAACTTTCTTGATTGAGTTAGAATTGTTTTAGAAATTTAACTATCACGGGAGAAAATGACGAGTTTGTAGTCGCAGTTCGAGCCAAGTATCTGATGTTGCTTTGTAAATTTATATACATATTACATAATATGATGCATTCTATATAAAATAGGTTTCCTTGCAAGTTCAGATTTGCAGAAAAAAAAAAAAAAAAAAAAAAAAAAAAAAAAAAAGGTGTATAAATAGACGTGCATTTTCCCTCTGACTTTTGTACTTGTGCTACCTGTATGATTGTTTCAAACTGTTGCAGCTTCACGATCATATGCTCGTGGTGGTCATAAACCTTATAATCTCTCTTTGGAAATGGAAAACCTGGTGGCAAGGAATTCAGGGAAGCTTGGAAGAAAGAGATTGATGCATATGATACTTTATGGACGGGGAGTGAAGACAAAAGTGACAATGAAAAGGATGAAAAGAGTCGTCTTGAAAAAAAGATTTGAAAAGTAAGACAACATGCGAGGGAGCATTCTGACCTGATTGATGTCGATGATAGTGATGAGTTGAGAAGTGTTTGGTCTGGAAGCAACGAGGAGAAGTCTATGTGGACTGGGAGTGAAGATGATGATGACGACGATATTCCTACTGAAGCCTAATCAAATGAAAGTAGTGATAAACATATAGACAAACTGTTTGAGATTGAAGAAACATCAAAGTATCGGACAATTTTCGAATTATTGAAAGCTAAGCAGGAACCGGAGGAGTTGTCCCCTGGAAGCAAGCTAGGAAAATTGCAGTTGAGAATGCCTTGAAAAAGTTGAAGAAAGGGCCAGACAGGCGATATATTAACATGTGGGAAGTCATGAGTGACTTGGATATTCTGAGATGAGCGTTTGAAAATATAGTATCAGGGTCGAAATATGCAAAGCTTAGACAGGGAAGGCCTAAGAAACTGAATATGCAGTTTTTCAAGGATATATAAACGCGTATGAGAGATCCTAATTATAAGTTCTCACCTGAGTTGAAGTTGAAACCAAAGAGCAAACTAGTTGCTAGAAAGAAAGGGCAAAAAGTACAATCTAGATGGAGGAAAGCACAAAAGCGCTAAGTGTATCCTCCTCGTTCCTCCTCTTTACTATTTCAATATGTCGAACTTGCAAACTATAACATGTTATATTGTATAAATGCTAGTATTTTGGTGTGTGTTTCTCAGTAATATATATGTTCTACTTCTCTTTCGGGCTCTCGTCCAGTTGTACTTCTAATGAGATCACACACATGTTTGCAGTCCCATAGTTGTCTATGTCAAGTTTGCAGTGCCATAAAGTGTTGTTAGGCTTGCTTCAAAAAAGAGAAAAGGAAATTTTAGCAATACCACTTGAATTTTACACAATGTTATACTTGATCACTTAAATTTTGTTTTGTGACATTTGCCACTTAAACTAAACTTGTTTGCATAAATACCACCTACCGTCAAAACCATTAAGATTTACTCTAAAATATGAGTTATATCTGAATCATTGTCATCACTATTTCGTGTCAAATTATCACCTGAACTTTTTTTTGTTTCATATAGCAACTTGAAATGTTTTTTTTTTTTTTTTTTTTTTTTTTTTTTTTTGCCAAATTACCCTCTAAATCTAGTTGAATTGTTAAGTCCTCATTTACTGAAAGCATTGAAAAGATAAAATTAAGTTAATTCATTCCTTAGAGCACAATTACTTGATTGGAAGTTAGTGTTACTTTTCTTTAAGGAGCAAATCATTCATTTTCTAGTGCCTAATAGTGGCACACTCGTATTTAGACAAATCCCTTAGTTTATTTCTACATCAAATTAAGTAAATACCATAAGGTTACCAAAACTCTCCTTAAGTCAAGAGATCTAAATTTCGACTCAAATAAAATAGAGTTTTAAGATAACACAAATATATTATACGTAAATTATCGTTATTATGCGACCTAATTCAATCTCATTTCTGTAGATGGTCTCTTATAAGTAAAATAATGTTGGATCAAAAAAGAAAACATTAAAATGGAGTTTGAGAAGACTCTGATTCTCTCCCTCCTATCTTTTTAGCCCGGAAAATTTAGTTTTTAGCCCAGAAACAATTTTTCTGCTCCAACCCTTCTAGCCTAAAATTTTAGCCTGGGATTATTAAAGAATGAACTTAGGCTAATTTTTTTCTTAAATTAATTTTTTTAAAATAAATATGTAGACTATAGTAAATTAATTTTATGAACATTTCAACTTTCAAAGAGTTTTTGTTTCCTAAAAATCATTAATATCTCATCAATGGGTGATAGAAGAAGGCATAGCATGGCAATACAGATGACACAATACCTAGCAAGGATTGAGATTGAGGATGCATAATTGATCAACGCCGAAGCTGAAATTGAAACTTTGCAATGATTTTATCCAACAAAACTTTTTTATTTTGATTTCTGCCAACTACACCATCTTCGCTAACAGAAACTCATGCCAAGCATAAAGCAACAACTTCCTCACATGTCCAATTATGAACTCTAATATGCTCTCTTGCCATGTTAAACAATTTGGAAATGGAAAGAAATGGTAGAAAGATAAATTGGAAGAATTGTAGGAGAAAATTGAGTTTTGTGTGGATGTTTGAACAAATACATAGGTATTTATAGAGTTTTTGGGTTGAGTTAAATAATTTTTTTTAATTATTTTAGCCATTGGATTTAAATTTGGGTCATTAGATCTTTTTTTTTAACCGTTAGATTTGATTATATTC